GGGCAATCGGCGTCGACACTGCGAACAGCGGTTGAAACAATCGGTTTTTCGACCACCCATTCGCCCCCACAACATGTGATCGGCGCAACCCTCACACCATGGACCGTCTTCGAATCGCAACCGACGAACACGCCGAATCGAACGACACCCTCGAGTTTGTCCGTTCGCACGGGTTTGGGGAACGGGCAAAAACACTTGCACCCCCAAGGTGGCCATTTGCTTACAATTTCGTTTTTACTCGTTCCGAGTAGTTGTGGAAGAATGTTACCTTCGTGTCCTGGTAAGTTTCTGGGAGCGTCGTTGAACAAGGCGCGTGCGTACACGAGTGCCTCGTCCCATAACTGTTTGGGAGCAGCCGCTTGGAGGAAAAGGACGATATCGAAGAATTCCTGGATGCGCCTCTCGGCGACGCCGCTGGCCTGCGACCTACACTCACTCTTGTCGGTGCGATCGAGACCGCACTCCCAGAGCCATCTGTCCACCTCCCCCTTAGCCTCCACGCCGCCGTCCGAGTGGAATCGCCAGAAGCGTCGGCGATCGAGTTTGCAATCGACCATCGCTTCTCGCACGGTTCGGGACTTTTTGTTGGGCAAGGAAGGGGTTTACGAAGCCATGCCGAGGGCGTACTTGTCACCGTTCAGGCTAACGGGCATGGAGCCAGCGAGGTCTGAAGAAACCTCCCCTCCAAAAGACTCCTGGTGCACCCGCCGGGCCGGGCGTGCACGGAGCCTCGCTTGCACGCAAATGTCGCAATTCGGATCGTGTTCCGCGTAGCCCTTTCCTAAGATAAGGAGCGCATGGTCCATGTCACTCGGCAGGCTTTTGCGCTCTGGGGAGTACACCAATATGTTCGAAGGATCCCCGCACTAAAGATACTGCTGCAGAACCTTCTTGGAGAATTCACCACCAGGACGGGCTCTTCCCGCACGCTGGCAGCGTACATCTCGAACGTGCTTGGTGCCCACGACCCGCCGCGACCCTCCGATGAAGCCACGGGCGGCGACGGGTTTCCAGTAAGCCGTGGCTCAACAGCACGATTGTCCGCCACGCCGCCTGTCCTCTGGAATCCAGTCGGCCGTGGCGCAGCGGCGCGACTGTCATCCTTTTCTGCGGAACCCTGATTGCGAAACGCCGACCCAGCCGAACCCGCGTTGCGATCTGTTCCCGTCTCTCCTATTCCTCCTCCCTCTCCCCTTCCCAATGATGACGGTGACGCAGATGATGGTAATGGCGAAGGGGTAGGTGTTATACTTGTACCGACGAGGATGAATAAGTTGCCAGACCTGCGCAGGCTAAAACGACGTCCCCGGGAATCCGTCAGCACAGCGCCTGCGCGAACCTGGCTATACTGCGAGCTGTCGTCCGTCAACAGGACGATTGCCAGGAGGGAAGATATAGCAGTTTGGTACATCAAGACGCCCTGAAGGAGAACTCCTCCGCACACAACGTCGCGCTGCTGCGTGACGACTGTCTCGCCGTTCGCCGTCTCAAGGATGAGGGGCGAATCGAGGAGGCCGATGCCCTTGGCGTGCCCGAAATCCCTACCTGCCAGCACGTGTTTTTCGGCACCCGAATCCGCCGCCATCGCCAGAGGCGACTCCGAAGTGACACACTTGACCCCGAGGGTGACGTTGGGAGTGGAAACTCGGAGCATGTTCCTGGAAACGCGCTCCAGAATATCCTCCACTGCTTTGTAGTTGGTTGTCTGTGCGCCATTTGCTGTGCCATCTGTTTGAAAGCTACCATGCTTGCCGTGGATTGCTGCGTTGCTGGCGCCGGTTCCGATCCGGCTGCCTCGCCAGCCAGCGCGCCGGCTCCGATCCGGCTGCGGTTCCGGCTCTCCTCGGTCTCGAGACCTGGAGGCACGGACATGGGCGCGTCGGTGCCCCATCCTTTTCCTGAGTCTGTCCACTTGTTTGGGCGTCCCCTTTTGGTCGGGGCCCCACCCCAGCCTTTCTTTTTCCTGCCCCGTGCCCCACCCCAGGGAGTCCTCTGTTTGGGCATTCGTTGCCCCAGTGTCTGGGCTGGTGGCAGATGCGGCACACATCTTTTGGTAGGGATTTGCTCTCGTCGTTGCCAGTGCGGTAGAACTTGCAGTTGTTGCCCCAACGGCAGTACCCGCTGAGGTAAAACGAACATGGGATCAAAGCTTGCTGGTCCTTGCCCTTGCCGTTGTTGGTCTTGCGTTTGTCTTTGTTATTGTCGTTGTATTTCCATGTGTCGTTTCTGTCGGTGCGCACTGCGTTCGCTGGCACCCACACCTGTTGCGAAGAGGTCGCCTCTACAGCCCAATGCCCTGTTTTGGCCTCCGCCATTTTGAAAACGGCACCCGGGTTGTCCGGGGAGGACATCTCCACGATCTCAAGTGGAACTCGCAGGACGTCTGAGTTACTCAACAGCTGGCGCACAGACCGCAGCTCAGTGTGTTTGGACGGTTCCGAATCGGCGGCACGAAGCTCGGCGAGCTCCGCCTGCCACACTTTCAGAGCGCGCTGCAGCTTGCTGTGGTCTGAGGCGAGCACTGGTGACGCAAAATGAAGTCTCGGTCTTCGATGGCTCCTTCGCTGGGTAACGATGTAGTTCTCACGAGGGCGTCTTTGTTCTGCTCTCCAGGCAGGACGCACGGAGGACGACGCAAGCACGATCGAGGTGGGGCGGCCTCATGGGAGCGGTGCCGAGATCCCCGAAGGAGAGGCCGCGCACGCCCCCGCCCCTGCCTCGCGCCTCCGGGGGAAAGGGAGGATTCGAGGCACGCCGGAGGAAAATCTTCTTTAGAATCTGGCAAGCTTACCGCAGGTTCGTGCCGTGTCGACCCCAGCGGTCGCTCCTGACACTGCGGGGATCGATCAACCTTTAACGATCGGCCGTTTCCGTAACGTCACATCGTTCAACATCGACAGATTCGGGGTCGCCGGAGGCGTTCAACGTGGAACGCCGTCGGCGGGGTCAACGCCTGAGGACACGACGCGCACCCACCGTACTTGCATGGAGGGGGGAAGCAGGCCCCCCGAAAGGAAATTTGGACTTCATGTAGGATGGAACTTCTTTGCACGCCTTTTCGACCCAGAGCTGTTGGAAAAGGCGGCGGAGAGGGGGGAGGGGAGGGGAGGGGATGCCATGCGGGGGGGAAAGGGAGAAACTGCCATGCAAATAAACTTACCTGGGTCTACAAAAACAGCCTTTCACACCTCCTGTTGCCCC